TACTTCTTCCCATGGTGTTTTATCCAGTTTGTCAAATGAAGAACAGACGGTACGTAATTGACATTCAGGAACACCAGAAATAGCGACACCCCCCCCCCCCCCCCCCCCCCCCGCCCGCCAGCATGATTCTGCGATGTATTCATTAATATCCTACAAAATCACATCCAGTACATAATTATGTTGAAACATATTTCATCAAGGCTCAGCTTCATGAAAACATAAGGACTGGAGGAAGAATTTGCACAAAATTCCCGACAAATGACGCAGCTCAGGCCTTAGACCCGCTAAGCGCACTACAACCGAAGGACAAAACTGCTGTAGCAGGTATTTTTTCGGTTGAAGGCACGCATGTGCGCGTGCTTGAAAGGAACACTGGCTCTTTGTGCGGGACCACAAGTATAACAAGAACACAACAACAACAACAACAACAACAACAACAACAACAACAACAACAACAACAACAACAACAACAACACCCAGGGCCCACCTCGACAACGCGGGCGTGGTGAACCTCGGCGAGTTCGCCACGCTTTTGGTGGAGGGGGACGACAACGTTTTCGCGGGAAACGAGTGCGGCCAGAACGGTGCGGTGTTCGGAGCCACCACCGACACAGTCATCGTCATCGAGGGGGGAACCTTTTTCGGCAACGAGGCTGCGGATGTGAGAGAGGCAGCAATTGGGGCAAAATAGCCTTATAATTCTTAATGTCGATTTTGGTTATTATACTGAAAATAGAGTGGAAGAAAAGTGTAAATCGCGAAAAAGACACGCTGACGGAGTATGGTATGAGCCTAGCGCAAAACCGCTCACGATGGCTTTGTTAAGTTTGTGCTTGCTTGCCTTGCTATCGGTTTTTCATGTGTATTTGTTTCTGTTTTGTTTTGTTCACGTTACAGCAGGGCTGGGTCTCTCCGTCACTGTTACTGTAATGTTTTGTTTGTCTAGTATTCGGCAGTTTCGACAACATGCTTCATACAAGTCGTCTTTCAATTTTTCCGGTTTCTATATGCTGGTGACAACAGTATAAAATATTCGGTGGCGAAGTAAAGTGTACTGTAGTTTAACTTCGTGTGAAGGCTGCACGTCTATTGGACAACATAGTTTTTATTGCCAAGGAGCCTCCTCAACAGAGTCTCGATATCCCGCAACTCATTCCTGCCTGTATTTGTCGCAAAACCCCTACCGGTATTTTAGGGTGGCGGCGTGATCTGGACCAAGGGCGACGTGACCATCCTCGGGGGAAATTTTTCGGGGAACGATGGGGCGGAATCGGGAGGAGTAGTGCTCGCTTCGGAGGAGAGCACGATCTTTATTGCGGGTACGACAGACTGTTCTTCGTGGTGGTGGTAGTGGAGGTGGTTGACGTTGTCGTCGTTGATGTTGTTGGTGTTGTTGGTGATGGTGATGGTGGTGGTTGTTGTTGGTGAGGGTTGTGGTGGCAGTTTTCGTTGCCCTCGTCGTTGCCTGTGTTGCTGTTGACGGCGGTGTTGTTTTTTTATCATGTCCCCGGGGCGTCGAACTACGTAGCGTTCATACCGGAGGCGGCAGCATTCGTGTTGCACTGAAACCGTCTGGCTCGAAAAGTAACATAAATTATTTAGCAAAGGGCTACAAACGATATCTTGGTGTTTTTTTTTAGAATGTTCGGCTTTTTGAAGGAGGATTGACTTACGTCCGCCTATGGTCGGGCGTATGTGCCTACCCGCTAGTTGGGTACCCTCTTATTCCGGTATAAGAGGGGCCTCCGATATAAGGGCGTTTTGGGACTTTGTCACACCACCCTCTTATGTCCAGCCGTACTGCCGTATGTATCCCGTTTACTCAAAGGATGCAGTTTTGCTGACTCCACCAGCAGCCTAGCTGAAGATTTTTTGTTGTGACCGTAACCTTCCCTGCTCAATCTCGGTCTCGGTCTCGGTCTCGGTCTGTTCAAGGTGGTCTCTTCCAGGGTAACGAGGCGTTGGACGGAGGCGTGGTGTTCGTGGGCGAGGGGGCGGCGGTGGAAGTGGAAGGAGGCGTTTTCGACTCTAACCTTGCTGGCAATGGGGGCGGCGCCTTCGCTGCGGAGGAAGGCGGACACATTAACGTGAGAGGTGGAGAGAGGAGAGAGACCAGAGACAGACAGGCAGGCAGGCAGGCAGGCAGATGGGCAGACGAGCACATTGGCGTGAAGTGTAGAGAGCACAGAGAGGAGAGACACACAGACAGGCAGGTGGATAGACAGACGGGCACATTGGCGTGAGGTGTAGAGCGGAGAGAGAGGAGAGACAGACAGACAGGTAGGCGGATGAACAGACGGGCACATTGGCGTGAGGTGTAGAGAGGAGAGAGGAGAGACAGACAGATTGGCAGACAGGCAGGCAGGCTGATAGAAAGACGGGCATGGAAAGAAGGGGGGCTTCGCGGGTCTCCAAACAACAAGGCGGATAACCAGACGGGCACATTGGCGTAAGGTGTAGAGAGGAGAGACAGGAGAGACAGATAGATTGGCAGACAGGCAGGCAGGCTGGTAGACAGACGGGCATGGAAAGAAGGGGGGCTTCGCGGGTCTCGAAACAACAACGAGCCCCCATCCATTCTGACAATCAACACCAACATCATTGGCACAGATCACGCAAGGAACTTTCACGAACAACGAGGCCGACTTCGGGGGGTTTCTGTACAAGGAGGGGCCGGGAAACGCCTCCTGCACGGGTGCGAGCGTTGTGGGGCACCGCGGCGTCGACGGGGGTGCCGTGTATGCCGTCGAGGGGGCCAAGCTGGAATGGGGGTGCGACCTGGTGAACAACTCTGCGCTTGCGGGACCTGCCATGTGAGGGTGATGTCGGCGTTTGCGGGGGTGGGGGGTGGGGGGGTACTGTTATCTTTTTGCACTCCTGATTGGTTAGACCGTTGACCACGCGTCCTCGAGAGGACGGCGCATTGTTCCCACAGGACCGATCACCGATGGCCAATCGTTCCTTCCTACTTTGCCAAAGGTGGCTCAAACCTTTTCCCCTAGTTTATCCATCCTATCGACATCACCTCCCACCTTCTCAGCCCACTTCCTGTGCTGCCGTCTTATCCTGGCTATTCCATGCCTCAACCATCTCCCTGTACCTTCCTTCTACTTTTCTCAGCTCAGTCGTATACGCTTCCCTCTCCTTCTTGCACAACGGACATTCCGCGACTACATGAACACGATCTTCGCACTCGGAGCCGCAATCGCATTTGAACTTGTCTTCATCCATCGTCTACCTTCCTAAATCTTCGTCTACGTTCTTGAAGGCCAATGTCCCCGGTCCTGAATTTGACCTTTAGCTTTGTCCCTGCATCCATTGGTCCATGTAGGTTCTCCTTCAACCCTAGTCCTTCTTTCAACATTTCGTACACTTCTAGGCCCTCCTTATCCTTGATTTCTTTTCTTAGATTCTGTTCTTCTCTCTTGCCAATTGCGTGCGGGGGGGGGGGCTTGATATTTCAGCTCACACAAGTTTGATGTGCGTGTTTTTGGGGGCATAACAGAGTATACCATGGTCGAAAAGCGACTCAACCGGGGACATGCTATTTCAGCAGCGTGAAATGAACCCAGATGATTTGTTTAGACGAACGGTTAGGTGGTGCCGTTTCCACCTTCAATCCGGAGAATAGCCAACCCTCACCGTGACGCCCTCTCACGCGGCCGCGGATCATGGCCTGTAGAAGAATCCTGTTTCGTTTTTTTCCTCACTTGAGACTTGACTGGCTTATTTTCATTGAGTGGTCAGCCGGGTATGTAGCACGGTCGATGCTAATGGTAATATCACACACCCACACACATGCGTGTTGACGTTTTTTTATCCCACTGTATGCATAAGAGTGACGTCTTTTCATTGGCACGCCCGGTGGCGCGGTCGATGTACACACTCATCACTCATCACCAAATAAAACCAAACCACATTATTATCGAACCAACCCAACCCAAACTTATCCAACCGCACCAAACCAAACCAATCTGAACCAATCTGAACCAAACTGAACCAAACTGAACGACGAAACAGCTACGCTCGGGACAATGCGGAGGTGGTGCTTCGCGGGGTAGAGCTTTACGACAACGTCGTCGCTCGCGGGAGCGTCGTCTTCATCGTTTCCAGCAACCTCACCACCTACCAGGTAATGCTGCTGCTGCTTCTGCTTCTGCTGTAGATATCGCTGGTTGAGATGTTGTTGTTGTTGGTGGTGGCAGTGGTGGTGGTGGTGGTGGTGGTGGTGGTAAGTGGTGTTGCTGCTGTTGCTGCTGCCTTTGCCAATACTGGCCCTTGTTACGTAAAGATTGCCGTCTACAGACGCCCCTGGATGGGTGAAGGTTTCACTGCAGTGGCTACTTGTACCAAAGGTTGTTGTAGTATGTATCATTTGTGTGATTTGAGTGGGACACCAAAGTGGCTGTATCTTGCTGTGTATGGCTGTTGGGTGATGTGTTGTCGTCACCATGCATGTTCGACCAAATCAACACATGTTTCATGAATATGCCCGACTGAAAACACACAACTCGGTGTACGCATCGTGCTGCAACTGGGCAAGGGACCCTCCATGTGGAAACCATGGAACACCCCTGATTTACGTGTCAATCGTGGTAGCGGGAGGGGGGGAGGCCTTAAATGTCCCCCGGGGGGGGGTGTACTCATAGTTGTGCATGCCGTAGTCGTTAGACCATTGACCTCGCATCCCTACAAAGCCGGGACGGAGCACGCCGGGTTCTCACCGGGCCAGGCTCTCACATCAACAAGCGCGAAGCGCCGTGAGATATTGGGCGAGTCGCATGAAGGGTTCCGTGCATCCTGCTGAGGATGTTCGGCATCTTGTGCTTGCTTCCTCGCGTACGGATGACAGCTGCGTATGACTTAATTTATTTTCTGGTGCTTTCACTCCAGAGACAGTTGTAAGCATTGTGTAACTGCCTCGAGGGTGCTTGACCAATTGTAACACAACGTGGTGCGATTATCCCCCTTGCGCGGCGTGAGAGTTCTCGACCCCGCACAACATAATGTACTCGACCACCATTCATGGTTACCGCAAAAAAAAAAACAAAGGCAGAAACAAAACGGTAACGTGGTTGCCGAGCTCACGAAGTGATCGGCTTGTTTGACAACATCGCTGCCAAGCGACGAAAACCCAACCCCGATGGCAAACACCGGGGGGGGCGAATATGTCCCCGGGGGGAGACATATTGACCAAATCGATGGGTTTCGACATTATTTGGGCGCTTTTTTCACCGCGCGCGCGGGCGGGATCCCACACAGAGTTAGTGGAGATTATCCAACACTCTCAGGGTAAGCGTCAATGCGTCAATCTTGTTCGGGAGGGGGGGGGGAGTCTATTGTATGGAACAGGATATAGTATGACGACACTGAAGCCTGTAAAAAAAAAGAGTGATCTCTGGGTTTTAGAATGCGGCACAAAAGCCAATACAATGAAGAGTGTATTGGTTTTACTATAGGCGTACTAAATCCTATACAGTAGACTGCTGCAAGTGTTCAGCGTAAAGTGGCGATCCTGCGTGTCAATCTTGGCCCGGGGTGGGTGGGTGGGTGGGTGGGGTGTTCGCCGGTTTCTACATGGAGGGCCCCTTGAACTGGGCAGGTTTTTTATTGTCCCCCCCCGCCGGAAGGCTTGTTTTTATGTGATGAATCTCTCCACCGTTTAACGCACGTTTGTCGTCGCTGTTATTATTGTCTAAATCGTATTTCTTGTCTTAGCTGTCTCTCTTGCCTTAGCTGTCTTTCTTGTCTTAACTGTCTCTTTCTTGTCTCAAATGTCATTCTTTTCTGGACTGTCTCTCTTCTTGTCTCAACCTCTTGTCTCAACTATCTCTCTTGTGTCAACGGTCTTGGGTGTTTCTTGTTTGTTGCAGACGGTTTTCACCGACACCGAGGGGTCTTCTGACCTGTCTGCGGTTCAAGCGGACGAGGACTCTAGCTACAAGGCTGAGGACACCTCGTTCGTTGGCTTCGCCGGAGAGGTGCGTTGTTGTCGTTTGCATAGGTTTGTTGATGTTCATGTTCATGTTGTTTTTGTTGCCGCTGCTGCTCATGTTACACTTGTTTGTGGTGGTGGTGATGTTGTTTTTGTTGTTGCTGCTGCGGTTACCCTTGTTTATGGCGGCGGCGGCGGCGGCGGCGGCGGCGGCGGCGGCGGTGTTGTAGCTGCTGCTGCTCTAATGTTGTTGTTGCTCATGTTTGTTGCGGAGTTGACGATATTGGCCCTGTTGATGGTGGCGGTTGATGCTAAAAATTCTCGTTGTCGTTGTTCATCCTGCCGCCATTTTTGCTTTCGTGGTTGTCACCGTTGCGGTGTCCTTATCTTCGCTGTCGTTTTTATTGATTCTCGCCTCATCGGCTGTTTCGGCGCCCCTTAAGCCCTGCCAAGTAGTCCCGTGCGGATGTAAACAGTAGTACGAACCGAACCCGTGGTCTTACTCTACTCTCATCAATATCATACGCTTACCGATGAGACCCAGAATGAATCTGAAGGCGGTTGGCTCAGCCGAGGTTCACTCGTCCGCACTTCTTTGTTTTACTTCGATTTGTTGCAAGTATGCTCGTCTGCACGCCACTCACTCGTTTTTTTTTTTCACGTAGGCTGATGGTCTTGAGTGCAGATGAATCACGGTACGTTCGCGCTTATCTGCACAAATCGAGTACTCGATTCTTACATTGTCTCGCAGGCGGTTGTCTTCAGCGAAGGGATTCTGTATCTCGACGATTGCGACTTCAGCGGCAGCGCTGCCTCGGTTCTGGTCTACTCGGAACGGAATTCCACCACCGTCGTGCGGAACGCCGTCCTGGGGGACAACAACTGTAAGAATTTTCCATCCGCAGCGCCCCCCCCAATACTAATGTTATTTCAAATACAGTAACAAGTCCTTGTGTTTCCTCCTGTCTATTTGACCCCCCGACGGTCACGCGGTAGTTGAACAACAACATGAGTTCAGTGAAAAACACCTTTGACTGTCTCGTAGATCTCGTAGATTGTGACGCCAGATGACCTGTCGGAGACCCTCTACCTTCGGGGTGTTGGTGTTGCCACGGTGCGAGACCGCCTTCTCATTTCTACCTAGTACTACGAAGGTTTTACGACAGCATTCACGCATTCACACATTCACACATTCACACGTCCGCGAAACAATTGGCACGAAAATGATGGAAGAGAGATCCCATTCGGCCTGCTCGTGGATGAGATCGAACGTCACCCGTGACTACAAACGAGGAAACGTTTTTGAAACATGCACATATCATCGTTCATGAATCCGTTCGTGGAATCAGCTTTCGATGTTGCGAAGGCTGCATCGAACGGCGTATCAGATTCATTCCCACGGTCCGCTCGTTGCTGCACGTGAATGGAACTTGCTGCTGTGTGGTTGACTACAACGATGAGAAGAATCAGATTCATTCAGCCTTTCATGATATGAGTGTTTTCATTATAAAATCAGATTCGGACATCGCCGCGACTGCTTCCCACGGACCGATCGCTGATGAGCGAACTGAACGTGGAAGTCACCTACCTCTAATGAAACCGTTCAGGAAAGAAATCAGATTTCGGTGTCGCCGAGGCTGCTTCGGCGTCCGATCGAACGTGCACGTCACTTTTGACAAAAACGATGAAACCGTTCCATGAAACCGTTCCATGAAACCGGTGATTGAAACCGTTGATAGCGAATCAGATTCCCGCGGCCCGCTCGTTGTTGAACGTGAATACCGCGTACGACTCGAAAACGATGAAATCGTGAAAACCATTCATTCGGGAAAGCGATGAAATCGTTCAGTTCACGAAACCGGATTTTTATATTGTCACCGAGGCTTCTTCAACGGCAAATGAGATCCTGTGGGTCGCTTGTTGGTGAAATTGAAGGTTACCTGTCACTACAAGCGATGAGACCGTCGAAACCTTTCATGAAGCCGATGAAACTTTTTTCGTTGAGAAAGTTTATGAAACCGACGGAACAGCTTATGAAACAAATGTCGACGGCGCCGGGGCTGCTTGGACGGCCCGATCGCCGATGAAAGTGAACACCTGTGACTGCAGCGACGAAACCGATGATGACGCCTTTCATGAAACCGATGAAACCGCTGATAACACCACACACCGTTGATGAAACCGTTCACAAGATCATGTCTCGACTTCGCCGGGCCCGTTAACGCCGATAACACCACACACCGTTGATGAAACCGTTCATAAGATCATGTCTCGACTTCGCCGGGCCCGTTAACGCCGAGTGAATCAATTCCCAAACGGTCGGTGCGCTGGCTGACGTACTTGACGAACGTCATTTGTGACAACAACCGACGAAACCGTCGATGAAACTGTTCTTGGCCATGAAACCGATGAAACCGTTGATGAAGCCGTTCTTCTTGGAACCGTTTTTCGTGAAACCGTCAGATTTCGACGTGGCAGAGGCGGCTTCGGAGGCCGGCGATATCCCTACGGCCCACTCGCTGATCAGCGTGAATGTCACTTGCGACGGATGGATGCCGTTCTCGTCGACCCCTCCCTGCAGCGAGGGGTCCCCGTGTATCGACGGCGACCTCGGGGTGTACTGCCAGTGCTACACGCGGGAGTCTTCCATAGCAGAGGTGCGTGCATGCGTGTGTTGTTGTTGTCGGCGTTTTTTGTCCGCGCAATATTAGGCTGAATCGAGTGCGAACAACTTCTTGCGCTGGCTATCAACAGAGTAACGAGTGAGAGGGACAAGAGGTGTGCGCGTGCATGCGTAGCTCTTGTCGGTGTTTTTTGTTCGCACTGTACTAGACGGAATCGGGTGCGAACATCATGCTGCCTTTACTACCACAGCGGCGACAGTGATGGCGGTCGACAGATAGAACCTTGGTGTCGTCTTTTGGTACTTGCCGATCCGTTGCAGGGTTTATAAGCGTTTGCTCTAAACAGTAGTCCACACGTACAATTGTAGGGATGTGTTAGGTAAAAGAGTAAGTACTTTATGTATTTGTACATGTATACGGTAAGTAACACAGTCATATTCATGTATTTGTAGAACTATTATTTCTGAAGCACTTTTTGTGTACATGGCGAATGGGGTTCCATGTCTGTCTGTCCGCACGCACTTGTGAGAAATTGTGAAGACTTGTTTTTTTTCATGTCTGAGAAGCGGAGCTGTTGCCCCTGCACGTACGTACGTGTCATATTTCGTGCTCCAATAGCACCGCATGCCCAAACCCGCCCCCGTCACCCTTCCATGCAGGGTTCCCCCTCCGAGACGTGCGTCACGGGAGACCCGGGGCTGCTTAGCCTCACAGTGCTGTCGGAACCCGCCGACGCCGTCTACCCTACCATGCTCGACGGAGACCTCCTCCTGACCCTTAATGACGATGAAACGGTCACCACCAGCAGCAGTGCAGGGGGCTCCGGGGTAGCCTTGTCGGCCGGGGCGGGAACGGAAGGCGGCGTGATTTGGAACGTTTCGGCGTTGGTGTTGTCTTCGGAGGAAGGGTTAATGGAGTGGACGGTGTTTCCGTCGACCGGTCTGCTGCTCCCGGGGCGGAGGTGAGGAAGGGTGTTTGGTGTTGTTGTTGTTGTTGTTGTTGTTGTTGTTGTTGTCGCTGGATGGCGGTGTTGTTGTACAAAGTGGTGGTGGTGTTGTTTTGTTGTGGTCTGCCGGGTGAGACCCTCTATTTAGTGTTGCAACAAAGCGGGCGGGTAGCAAGGTGATTGTCGTTGTTGTTTTCATGAGACCTGCCCTTTTCGGTATCATTCTTTCCGCGCCGCGTTGACCCACGTCTACCCTCGTACACTCCACGCTAGCTAGATTTCGCGCGACCACACGCTAGACCACGCGGTCCACCGCCTCACAAGGATGCAAATTTTAACATTACCTTAACTGGGCCTGCCTACAAGGTGCCCATTCCCTATGCTAAAACCTATATTATCGATGTTGGGGCACTCCACAGATTGGATTGCTCCGAGCTTCGTGCACACTTAGAGCTGTACGGAACCCTAACCCTTCCTTCCTTACGCCCCTCGCGACAGCATCACACTCCACGTGGTGACCCTTCCCCTCGACGACTTCAACGGAGAGGCCACCGTGAGCTTCCAGGCGGACGGGATGTCTCCTCCCGCTTCTCTTGTCGCCGAGGCCGCCGCTGCTGTTGTCGTCCAGACCACTTCATTGGCGGATGATGGGGAGGGGGAGACAGCCGCTGCTTCCTTCGACGTGTCCTTCGTCCATTGCGAAAGCGGGACATACTGGAACAACTCGTGCGATCCGGAAGGCGACTCCGTCTCTTGCTGCGAGCTGTGCACGGATGTCGATGGAGACGAAGATGTGAGTGCATTGCCGCAGTAGTAGTAGCACGATCTCTGTCGTACTCACGAATGTTTTCTTGTTCTTCCTCGCCCGCTCTTTCGTGTTCCGTCTGTGTGAATTATGATATTGCCTACCCGCGATTGTTTTCTTTTTTTCTCGCCAGCTTTCTTGTTTGTATTTTGGACACCCAGACCGCTTTTGGTGTGTGACATGCGAAGTGCTTTGTGTGTGACAACAACGGCATCTGTCCTGGCCGGTGAACCGCAGTGATGCGGGTCTCCACCGGTCGGTGTTGCACGGAACAGGAGGTAAAATACCCGCAAAGAACATTTCGCCGCCACTCTCAGCCGCAAACGGTGGGTAAAAGACGGCCACCACGTGCATTTCACGACCCTTGAAACGTTGGCCGATCTTGCCTTTTGCTTGTTGTCGTCTGGTTCGTTTCTGTGGTGAAATCGAACTTGGAAGGGGGTGAACTGCGATGAAAACGGCGCGACGACCCGAACTCTCCCCATCCAGTCGGGGTACTGGCGAGCTTCGCTGGATTCCGTCTACATCCGCCAGTGCTTCAACGAGGTAAGGAGATGGTTCAGGTTTCGGAGCGGGCAAATAAGAAAAAATGTTGCGTTAAGAGTTGTCGTCCGAAAACCCAAAAAATTGTTGAAGTTTGTGAAATATTAACATACAGATGGTACCGTATGGTTTAGTTATGCGAGCCTCAAATTTTGTTCGAAAAATATGGAAGTAGGAGCGAAAAACTTTGCTCCAACGGTGGGCACTACGTTAAACTCTACCGCGTGTTTATTTTTACCGGAGCTCGACGATCATGCCACGAAATGAGAAGTTGAGCCTGGCCCAACCCGAAATAGACATTTCTTGATTGCTGACCCGCTACTGGTATAGTGAATCATGGACACAGCCGATGCCGCCGGGTGCAAACGAAGGGTTGTACGGAGTGAATTGAAAGGGACTGCTCATCTGAAAAAGGAGGACTGATTCAGCCAGTGCTGTGTATCGTTGTTTCGAAAATCGAGTAGGATCATTGTTCTTCATTCGCTAACAGTTTTTGTCCGGAAGTAGGGGCATGTTTTTTCCACGATATCTTGGCAGAAAGAGGGGGGGCGTGTTTGATACTCCTAGGGGGGATCTCCTGGAGAGCATGCAAGCCGTGTGGTGCCACGTTGATACCAACTTGTGTAGTGTCCTACATTTCCTCTCCTACTATAAACTTATTGCCGCAGTAAAAGACGTCTCAGGTCTACCCGGGTTATTGATCGAGACCCAAACGTATGACCCTCTCCCTTTGTCCCAGGTAGTGAAACGTTCCCTGCAATATCTCTAACCCCACCCCGGCTCATGCTCGAACCGTGACGATGGATCGCGATGCAGGACGCCTGCCAAGGTGGAAGCATCGTCGCCAGCGAGCAGGAGTACTGCAACGCCGGCTACGAGGGGCCCCGTGAGTGCAGAGGTTATAATCTACTTCTACTTCAAGTAAAGTATCCTTTTAGTATCACTTTTAGCTGGCTGTGAATCTCTTGTTTTTCCCGTATGAATATGATGTACAGGGTGTCCTCATTTATCGTTGTCTGTCTGAGACCACGAGGGGCCTAGTGTCGTTCGAAGTGGCGATAAACAGCTGACGGCGGCGTTTGCGGTTGCTTCTGTTCCATAGTCCGACGGGGGGAGTGAATGTTCTTAACGCCCGCCCCTCCCCCGCCTCTGGACCTGATGTGTTCTGCCGTCTGCGTGCCTGCGATATGTTCGTCCGTTACCCCGCTCTACAGAGTGCGCCGTGTGTGCCTCGGGGTACGGCAGGGGGGTGGCCAACGCATGCCACCTGTGTACGGCTAGCTTCAAGGGGGGCATGTACTTCGTGCTTGCTGTCGCGGCGCTGCTGACGCTCTTCGTGGCCGCACTGCTAGCGGTGTACCTGGTGAGAGAAAGAAGATAATAGTAGCGATGAGGGCCTTAGTTTCACTCGTCGGACGTTCATAGTTCGGAAGACAATGAATGACGTTGCTGAGTCGATTGTCTCTGGCAATCACAGCAGAAGTGAAATCACGCACCCGCCAGCGGTGTTCCGGACACCCGCCCCCCCCCCCCCAATACTACCCCAAGCTGAAAATATCCCGGCGTAACAGCTACACCTGGTCTGGTACAAGAGACTAGAAATGTTGCCGAACCTTGCGACTTCCATCGGGGATATATCCGTCTGAGTGCCTACGGCAAGTGAGAGCTTACCAAGCTGCAATGGCATGTCTCTCCTTGGTTGGCAGCGCATCAGGCCCTCGGATATTCATAGCTTCTGCAACCACCGCTGTTTGCAAGCCCTCATCTCCCAGACATCAAAAGTGGAGAGGTTGTTACAACCTGGTGTTTTGGCAGAAAAAAAAATGTAAGATGGGGCAGGTTTACCGAAAAACAAAACGCCAAGCTCCTGCCTCCCAATGATTAAAACCTGACCCCCCCCCCCACCCCACCCGCGTAAAAAAAACAACGCCACGCGTCAATCAGGTGGGAGGCAGGGGCGCGGTCTCAACCACCATGACCAACACCCGGGAATCGGTCAGGATGCTACAGAGGCGCGGCTCCGGCCTACTCCGCTCGGAGGGGACGACCCGCCGCTTCCACTTCAGCGCCAGCGGGGGCGGGAGCAGCGGGGGGCACCCCACTAAGGGCAGCAGCGCTCTCAAGAGCGTTGGCGAGGAGAGCGATGGCGGCGAAAGTGGCGGAAGCGGCCGGTTCTTGGGGGCATGGGGTCGCCGGAAGAGCGCCAGCATCGGGGCCCCTCCTCCCGGCGCTATTACCACCTCCTCTGCTGCGGGTTCAGGCCCATCGAGCTCTGTCAACGACAAGGGCGCCGGGAGCAAGGCGGACTCTGCCGGCACCGTGGGAGCCGGCTTTGTTCCTCTTGCCCGCAGCCGTGCCGCCGCCGCCGCCGCGGGGGGCACTGCAGCCAGCAGCATCCTTGTACCCCCCACCATGCAGCGGGCCGACAACGAAGAGGAGGCGGACGTGAGCAACAACACGGTGGGGAGCAGCAGCAGCGGCCGCGGCCTACAACCCTCTGCTGCGCCGGCCGTGCGGGGCCCCGGCGGTGGCGGGAAGGGGGCACGAGAAGGGCAGCAGCAAGGAGGGGGTGGCGGCGACAGGAAGAAGAAGACGGCCGCCGCTAGGATCGGGGAGATGCTGGCGCGTCTGCCCCTGTCCAAGCTTAAGATCGTCGTAGGTGCGCAGCATTTATTGGGTGAAACGGAAGAGAGAGCGAGGAGATTATGTATGTCTGCGTTGTTTTTTCTGTTGCCTGGGCGACCGTCTAATGTGTCTGCGTTGAATCTCGCTCCCGAAATCGTACGCGACAGACGCAAAGTGCGCGCGTGCGGGAGCATTGCTTTAGCCTCCCCTGGTACAGCATTGTGAAGAGCCGGTTTACTCTAAACGCCGTCCTGCTTTGATTGGGGCACGTATCGCATGCCTTCGTTGATCCTCACGACCTCTCCCTCCCCGCCCAACGTTTCTGCGATGTCCCCCCTTCCCTAACCGTTGTCGTCGTCCTTTGTGCCGCTGTGTTTCCTTGTTGCTATTCCCCGGCTTTCGACTGATCCACGGAACCCCTCGCGATGATGGCAGTCGTGTGGCAGATATCGAACGCGGTGAGAGCTACTTACGAGTGTTGCGTTGTGGTGGCACAGAAGTAACTCGGTGTTCGTAGTTTGCTCTCCTGGATGAATCATTTTTGGGGGTGGAACGTCGATGCCGGGAATGTTGTCCAGAGAACCTCAATGTTCTCTCTTCCGCCGCAATATATCGCTTACCCTATTCTTCCCTCTCGCGTGTAACCAAAAAACAAACGTTTCGCCGCCGTCTACGACAACGGCCGACGCCTTGTTCTTCCTTCAGTTTGCGGAGATCACGAAGGTGCCGTTCCCCCCGGTATACGAGAAATTCCTGTCCATCATCGGGATATTTTCGTTCGACCTTGGCTGGATGATATCGGCGGCGTGCCTGACCGCGGGCATCGACTTCTACGACAAGCTTTTGTGAGGCTGGCCCTGACTCTGACTCTGTTGTTCGGTCTCATCTCTCTTGACCTTCTTGTTACTGCTGCTGTGATGCCGTTGGTGGTGATTTTGGGCTTTGGCTTCTAGGACAATCTTCTGTGAGGCTTGCTGACTCTGACGCTGTCCTTCGTTCCCATCTCTCTTGATGATGTTGTTGTTGTGATTGCGATGTCGTTGGTGATCAGTTTCCGTCATAGACTGCTACGACAAGCTTAAAGGAGACTGTTGTTTCCATTCACTCGCCCACGCCTCTCGTTAGTGTTGTTGTTGGTGCTAGGTGGTGGTCGTGGTGGTACTGATCGTGGAGCTATTGTTTGGCCTGTGTACGATCCCGCCCGTTTCGTCTCCAATTTTCTCAACACACATGTTGCTATTTTCTCTCTGTGGTACGTACGTCGTTCGCATCACAGGATCGTCACCATTGGACCCGTGGGCCTCCTCCTCCTGCTCGGCTTTACCTTCTACCTCGGCGCCCGGCCCGTCCGCAAGGGGAGGATAATAGACATGAGCTCCCGCAGCAACGCTAGCAGCAGCGTCAGCTCGGCCACCGCCGGTACGCTCGCAGCCTACGACAGCGGCAGCAGCGGAAGCGTGAGACCCCGAGCAGGAGCGGCAGCAGCAGCAGCAGCAGCAGCAGCGGGCGATTCTGCGCGTGGGACCGCTTCCACTACCGCCTCCGCTAGACGGGGGAAGGGGGCTTCGCGTACGGCGATGGCGGCGGCGGCGGCGGCGGAGAGGGCACGGCAGGGGAGGGCGAGGCCGTCTGCTAGGAGGGTCTGGAGGAACGGTCCCGGTGACGAGTCGGACCTGGAGCAGGTGGGTTGGGGGGGTGCATGCTGTAGACCGTTGACCTCGCGTCCTGGAGAGGACGGAGCGATGTAGGGGGTGTTCACGTAAACGCACGCCTTTATATACCGTGGACCTCGCATCCCCACGGAGCGATTTCGCCGGCCCAGGCTACGTTTGCCAAGGATGAAGAAGGCTGGGGGGGGGGAGGGGGGGGGGCTATGGCAGCGATGATGGCTGTGACGTGCCATGCTGCAGTGCAGTCTATGTCGCAACCACTGACAAAGAGTTTCTTGTTTAGGCCGAGCTTTGTTTCTTGCTTTCTCTCGGTGGCGTACTGTACCCCAACATCGACTGTGTAGGTTTTCGTGTACGAATCCTAACTGAGCAAGCACCTGTTGTTGCGGGAACGCTTTTTCATTTTTTTTTCCAAATCCGCGGCTGGTCAAAGCGTTGGTGCATCATACTACGTAATGATCGGGGTAGACTCGGCCCACAATATCCAGATTAGACTGCCTGACTATTGGTTTGATTTTCGACTTCGCTTACTACAGAACGGGTCCGGAGATGAGCAACGTCAAAATCGGGTCGAGCCTAAGTTTCTTCCTTTTGGGCAGAAGGACGAGCCCCAAGTCGACCGTTTTCTAAGAAAACGGGTTTCTTGTTCCTGTGGGCTGTCGCATCCTGCTGATTCTCTTATTTCTGGCGAAGAAAACAACACACCAAGCCTAAAAGCAGCGTTAAACCGACAGCTCGGTGTGCAGAACATTGTTTTTTTTGGCAGTACATACAGCAGTACAGCAGCAGTGGGGGGTGGAACAGTCCGCGGCGGCGCTGGGGCGCGTGGGGCGCCGCGAAAATGACCACTCTTCCCCCCTACCAAAAAATTGTATGAGCTAGATCGGGGGTGGGAACATGACAACAGCAGCAATGGGACGTTTCTTGTTGAACACGTGTCCTTCAGTTGTTTCTTATGTGTTGGGGGTATCGCACGATCATTTTTCATGCTAGGACGTTTCTTACGTTGTGGTCGATATTGATCTGTGTTAGCCCATTTTGCTTATTTTTCGTAAACATTTGGGCTTTTTTTTTCTCCACAGAATGTTTCTTTATTGCGGGCCCTTTCTGTAGTCAAATGGTTCTAAAACAAAATCCCATGAGACATTTTTTTCTTGTTTCATTTTGTGTCCTTTACTGGGTGCGTGCCGTTCCATTCTGTGTGTTGATTTTACCCCCTCGCCCTCACCCCCAGTTGACCAGTCTCACAACCGTTCTCCGCTCGCTGCTGTTGCTGTGTGTTTTTTCTGTTCTGTTTCTGCTTGTCCTTAGAACCACCTGTGGGAGCTGTTCGCCAGGCACACCACCATGATGCTCATCATCCTGTACCTTGTGTACACACAGGTTTCCACGGTGGTGAGTAGTATGGACTACAGAAATGGGCCCGGAGATTACAAGCTTCCTAATCCCCCCCCCACGCACAAAATGGTGGCGTTCTATTGTTGTGGATCCAAACTTTGTCATGCTCTCGTTGCGTTACGGCCGGCCTGTCCCATGCCGTACCGTAACCGTTCTATGCCGTATGGCCCCATACCGTATCGTAGCCCTAACCGTTCCATGTCGCGCATTCCCATACCGTATCATAACCCTAGCTGTTTCATGCCGTACGTTCCCATACCTTGTCAATACCCAAATGGTTCCATGCCGTATTAACGTAGCTATGCCCGTGCCCTCAGCGCTCCATATCAATCAGTCGTGCGGCCCGAAACCACGCAAACAACACTCCAAACCATGCCATCCCGTACCGTGGTGGGCCCGGTTTGCCGCCCCCCTGTTTTGCGACATGCCCTGTGCGGCGGCCACAATTTCACGTTTCACTAATGTTTCTCGATTGATACTGTAGGCCCAAAACCGGCAGTGGCGATCTGCGCTGAATAGTAAACGTCTTAGCAGGCCCACTTACTGCTGCCATACACGTAAGTACAGCAGCACTTAACTATCTGGTGGCACGTGCGTTGCATACAACAGGTGTTCCAAGCGTTTGCTTGCGAAGACTTTCCCGAGATCGGCAAGAGTTTCCTTCGGGCCGACTTCCGGATAGAGTGCGACACGCCCAAGCACGATAACTACAAGATTTACGCCGCCGTCATGATCTGCATCTGTGAGTTATTAATATTTTAGTTCATCCCCCGTAAGCTCACTGGTTTGGTGGGGGTGGAGTGCGGCTTCCAATAAACGTGAAAAAGAAACCAATGGGAATTTCATGGTACGTCGTCTTTGGTCGTGGAGGTGATCGTGCCACACATTGCCTCGTTTGCCGGTGCGGGTTTTCCTAGCTCCACTGCGATAATGTCGTTTGGTATATGACTACCCAACGCCAAGCTTGGTCTGATGCCGCTGTCGCACACTGATGTTCTTCGGTCTGTTCGTTTGTTTGTTTACCCGCCCCTCCCACGCTTTAACACACCGCGGAGCACCCAAGATCCTCTCGGTATTCCCGCAGCCTTTTGGTACTTCCTCACGAGGCAGAGGTCCCGCATCAACCCGCCCACGGACAAGGGGCTGAAGGACCAACGAGGGCGCAAGCATGTTGTGGTGCGTGTGTGTGCGTGACGTGACTCGTAAGAGGAATTTTTAATATAACGCTAAGCACCGAGAAATTTTTTGTGAACTACGAGAAACGTCTGTGTTTGTTGCGCGCCCGCACGCAGTATTTGTGGTGAAATAATTTTTCTCGGATGAAAGGATGCGTTATTCCCAATACAACACATACACATCGGTTGTGTGCCAAGGTTTGGCTCGAACTACTGCAGTGAAATGAAAACACCTCTGTGGTATCAAACAAGACAAGAATATGAACCGTTGTGTGGGCCTGCTGGCCGGTTGGAAAATGATGCAAGACAAGAACATGAACGGTGTATTTGTGCGTCACGCGTTTGCGAAAAGAGATTTGGGTTTGTAAATCAACCAGAGAGTTGTGTGAACGGCTGTGTGTGCTTGGCACGTTGGCCACAGTGCTTTATGAAGTAGATTTTCGGTTGGTAAATGGACCAAGAATACTGTTGGTTGCGTTCGCCTGCTTGCTGAATCAATTCCCTGGTTGCTCAGCGAATTGCCTGATTGCTTGATGAAGTTGATTTCGGTTGTGCATAGCTGGCACGTATACACCTCTCTCTAGCGGAGGCAACATTGCCTAGCATATCGGCATTCACTAGGCAGCTTGTCGCGAGAGGTATTGTAGCGTTTCCGCTCATCAGTGCTGCTAACTTTTTTAACGCCGAAATCAAAGCAGTGGATACTTGTGGTCAGCGCTGACTAGTCCAGACTAATGGCTTCCTTTCGACCTCTAAAGTGCTACGACTGCTGACAACCTCCCTCACCTCCCCAACTTTTCGTTTCGGCAGGACGAGAAGATGAATCAGAGGAGGACGGACCGAGCAATTGCCCCGACTTCTTTCCTCTGGAACGCCTACTACCCGAACCGATACTACTACGAGGTATGTATGCGGCAACCCCAGCAATAATAGTGCTCTTCCTCGAGGAAACGTAAAGCGGTACTGATCCCTGTACAAGGCCGAGTTAGAATGGCCGGTCGCCCAGTTCAAGACCGGTGAAAAGGTGTGACTTAGATAGAATTGTTCAAAGTTCTCTCATTCTCATTCTTCGACCAGTACGAAGTAGTTAATAGTGCCTCGTACCCGGTAGAAGACCGGTCATGTATTCGACGCAATGCGCCCTTACTATCCCCCCCCTCCTCAAACTCCGTTTTTTAATTTGTGGTGGTCGGCAGGTTTTCGAGTGTATGCGGCGTCTACTGCTGACGGGGCTGCTGGTGTTCCTCGTGCCCGACACGCCGGGACAGGTGGCCTTCGGTTGCGTCTTCGCCTTCCTTAGGTGTGTGCGTGTGATAGCAAGCGTTCCTTCTGTGGTCCACATTGTTGTTGCGCCTTCGCCTTCCTTAAGCATGTGTACGAACACAAGCACACCGGCCGTCGTTGTTGTTGCGTGTTGGTTTTCCTTAGGTTTGTTATCCGGAGAATATGGACAAACTTATCTGCTGCCTTCCAGTCGTTGATGATGCGGTCGTGTTATTGTGGAGTTTGCATGTGTAAAATTCCTTCGTGAGTTAGCATTAACGCTGATTTTTTTTCCCGTTAAAGTAATACCTAGAAGGTTTTGTTGAATACTCCGTACTCCATACGTAAATGCGCCTGTTGTTGTACACCTCCTGACTGATATTCTGGTCTGGTGTGTCTTCCGTTGTCTCCCCCCTCACACCATGCACTTCGTTCGGCTGCGTGGTTGGCGAAACCGAACAGCCTGTTGGCGTTTGAGCTGCTTCGGCCACACACGGACCACCTAGACATGCAGCTCTACCGTACGGTGAGAATGAAGAAAGAACCTCGTCCGAAAGAACCTCCTTCCTCTCTTCTCGCTCACGCGCAAAGAATGTGTGCGTATGTATGTCCCGTCTAATTTGGCGCCGGTCTAGACCACGCACCTTTCGGTCTAGACTACCTGGTGTACGTTTGATGTAGGAGGAATATCACACCGGAGGAATCGCACACAGGAGTTTTTTTTTCTTGTTGACTTTGATATTATTTTTTGTGCACTGCTGTCGTAGCATACGCAATTAAATAGTTGCATGCATGTATTCAGCAATGCTTGTCCATTAGAGTAGCCTAATTGGCTAGCATTATTGAATAGCATGTCATCTTCACAGGCCAGTGGAGTATGCCATCATCACAGGCAGGAATGAATGAAACCAGTGGAGTGTGAGGTTTCATCTGCATCGCGGTTGAAAGAAACTTCCTTGCATTCTTCCGCACCCCCCAACATCGCCTGATCCAACATCGCCTGGCCGGTTGAGCGCTCCTTGAGGAAGCAAAAATTGCTGGGCTGCTGTGATACATTTGATATCTCTTGTGGCACTCTGTTTTTATCAGCAGTAATATACTCCAAGATATAACTGACACATTGAACGGCCCCGGCCCGAACGTACAGCCAAGTGGTGCTGCAGTAATATATCGAATACGACTGACACATGAAACGTCTACTGTACATTGCTCACGTACACGTACAGCACTAACCCTAGCCTTTCCCTCCCTCCGTTCGTCCCTGCCCCCCCCCCACCCCCCTCGCCCCCCTGAATGGAAACCTTACTAGGGTTGCCTGGTGATCTTCTTCACCAATTTCCTGGTGAGGCCCTGTTCCTACTCTGTCTCGGTTGTAATAGTGACATGTTGATACTTGTACGGCGAGAACAAGATTTGTTGTGACCCGCGTTTGGTTGTGACAGTACCATGAAGGGAGAAGCGTACTGACTGCCTTCATTCTTAGGGTTCCGTGTGTCACGATTTTTTGCGCGATTAAATCAGGCCCTGATTTACACCTGGTGTGTCCTCTCTTTTCTAGTTATGGTCCGTGTATGACTTTATTTTTTCACCAAAAAGCATGCCATGATGATTTGTTTGTGCTGAAGTTTCGGTTCTAGATCTTAATTGTTCCTGCGCCACGATCTTAACGCGAAAACAAACAGGCCCTGATGATCAAGGCCAACGTGGCCAGCCCTGACTCTAGGGGCTCCGAGGTATACTCGGTCGTGCTGATCATCGTCAACGTGCTCTTCTTCCTGTCCATCTTCTGGAACACATGGGCCGCGGCTAAGGCCTCCTTCAGCAGACGACACGTGCAGGCGAGACAGAGACAGAGCCAGAGACAGGCAGACTGTCACAGAGAGAGGGAGAGAGAGAGAGAGAGAGAGAGAGAGAGAGAGAGAGAGAGAGAGAGAGAGAGGTCCCATTCACGGACGATGACGATGATAATGATTGTTTTTCTTGCACCATTTTTCAGGGAGCCTTTATATCTTCCCTTGTTAGTACCCAAGTTTTCGCTCTGTTGGTGACGACGTCTGGTTGCCACGCCGCGCTGCACGCAATACACCTTGGTTCTGATCTTAACGCGCTTGCCCTGGCTACTCAGGACATGATGCTGGGAGTCGACATTGTCAACGAGAAACAGCTGGACAAGATCATCGGCCCCAAGAACACCAAGGTCAAGAAGACCAACCAGCAGAAGCTCGACGACGCCCTCGGTCCCGATGATGGCGCCGGCGTCGATAAGGCCGTCGAAGACGGGAAGATGGAAGACCTTGAGGCTGCCCCCGCCTGGGAGGCAGACCCGGACGACCCTCCCGACTCGCCCGTCGACATCAGCAGCAGGTGGGATAGTCGTTGCTTACGAGTGTTTTCTTCGTGAGTCTTTGCGTCGACGTCACCAAATCTCAGCTATTTGTTTTGTTTCGGGAACTTGTGTTCTCCACAGCAGACGCGACGAGAAATGGTAGCGTTGGAAACGTCTGGTCGAGAGTTTTCCGAAAACGTATGTTCGGTTTGGTGTAGACACCCTCCTCGACGTGAAGTAGTCGAGCTTTGAAAATTGGTCCAGGGGGTATGGTATCTGATGAGTAGTCGAACTTTGAAATCGGTCCATGGGGTGCGGTATCTTGCGCCATGTCACCCACCACTACCGCAGCTGTAGATCGGTACATGTGACCAAGCCTCGTTTCTCGATCCGCAGGATAGGACAAGAGACGTACTCCCTGAGATTTACGACAAGTCTAACGAACAACACTTCTCCACCTCCCACCCCCCCGATCGATCGTCTGCGTTTTCTGTCGTGCTTGGAAGGTTTTTTTCCCGGGACCCCGGGGGGCACTCGGTTGCGAGCACGGTGGCGGTACCCTCCACCTTTTGGGGGGCTCCGTCCATCAACGCGTCTCCCAGCGGTACCGGCGGCCCCAGCGTCGCTGGCAGACGTTCCGTAAACTCTGTCGCTTCTGTTTCTGCTTCTGCTTCTGCTGCTCCTCTCCGTAGGGGGGGTGGGTCGTACCCGGTTGCGTGGGGCGGCGGAGGGGCCCCCGCGACCGGCGGTGGGGGGGTAGCAATAAACACCGGCGACCCCGGTCCGGAGTCGTCGCCGTTGGTGGAAGGGACGGAGTGAGAAGATGAAGGGCACCAGCAACGGACATGGTTGGGCCGGGCGGTAGGTGGTTGCTTCGGCGTCAGTGTGATGTTGACGTCGCTCGTTGTTTTCGGCAGCGGCCTTGAGGAGGAATGTTTCTGTCCCTATGGGTCACGGCAAAAGATGGTTGTTGTGTGTCGGAGACAAGAGTATTGGTACATTATTTTTGCTGCTGGGCGAGACGCGTTTGTGCAATCTCTTGTTTTTTTTATTACGTTTTTCGTGATAATATCGTTGTGTCCGAGCTCTGCTTCCAGTATGTACCAAAAACGCACGGCCTAAGGAGGATAAGAGCGGGAGGGAGGCTGGTGAGCCTTTCGACCACAACAAGAGCCCACGAGGCGGACCAGCCATTTGGTTCCGGGTGCAAAATATTTAGCTTCCTGTGAACTGGGTCCAGTCAATGCTAAGCCTCTTTTCATTCATGCATTGACACATGGGTGGTCGTGTTGGGCATGGTTTCTCGACTGTTTATTTCTTTGCGGATGCCGGCCTGGAACTCTTGTTTTGGGCGCGGAATCTTGATTGTTTTTTATTTCTTGGCGGATGCCAGCCACTGTGTTGCCAATTGACAGAAGCACACGCCTTCCGATAACCGGGGCTTGCCGCTTCTGTTGGCATGTATTGTTTGCGGAAGGACATGGGGTCTACGGTTGGCTGCGCAGCTCTGTATGTGAAGATGGTTGATAGGAGGATCCACTCAAGATTTGGCCTGCTTTGGTCGCGACTTTTGGACATGGCGTGCATGTGGTAGAAAAAAAAAACAGAAGCATTTTTTTTTTTAATTTTTCTCATAGCTCATTTCCATCGTCATTTGTTTTTGTTGTTATGGCTGGTCCTTCTGCGGCCCCTCTTTGGGGCATGCTGTAGAGTCAATGCCTTGAGGTGGGTAGTGCTCTCTTGGCTCTGTTGGCGCCCTGGTCGATTTGCTCTGGAAAAAACGTGTGGCACCAACACGTAATTGTTTTATGGCTCGTGTCCTGGTCATCTCCGAGTGGTTTGTCCTCCGTGTTCTTTTCGTTCTTTTTTTACATGCAAACGATGATAGAATTTCGATCTCCGTTAAAAGCGTTGATATTTTGGTCCTCTCGAGTTGATGGATAGTCCTCGTCTGTCCATTGCAACAGGGCGGCCTCAATTTTGTTTCGGGCATGATGGCTTAAGTACAGGGGCATATGTTTGCGCAACAAACTTTGCATGCAGAATGTCATTTTTTTGTTTTATGACTTATTTGTTTTGCATCTATCGATGCATGAGGTATAGTCTACCAGCAGCATTTTTCTTTCTCTGCATGCATATGCGTAGAAGAGCATTCTTTACGGTGGCATACTCGTACATGTTTGCATGTCAAAGCGCTGGCGGCGCTCGATAACTTTGTTTAGTTCGGCCTACTTTTTTTTTTGTGTTGCGTGACTCCTGTCTGTCCCGGTATTAAAAGGAGTGCGGTGATAATGCGGTGCTTTTGCGCAACCGCTGGTTAATTCGGCACTCGTTTATGTTTTATGTTTGCACGTGAAAGCCTTTAGGCGCTCGGTAACTTTGTATCAATCAGCGGCTCTTGGTTGTTGCTTTCTTGTCTATCCGGCGAGTATTCGTTCACGTGGTGTTCTGCTGCGGGTATTGTTAAGCGGTGCGGTGACTGAGGGGAGAGTGTGCGCAAAGATCGCTCGTTGATGGCGGCTGATTGGTAGCCTCACGCGACGATACCTTCCGAGGACGCGCCTGTAACATGGTAGAGGGGATGATGATGGTATGGAAAGTATGTACTCCCTTCTCCAGGTTGACTTAGACGGCGGGGGTTGGTTGTGTGACGATTCGTTGGGCATTTTGATAGCTCCTCCGTCAACTGACGATGATCGATCGCTCTCACGATACGGGAAGTCCTGTACCAGGGGTGAGATACGTTGTCCTTTGCATTTGGCACGTGAGGCTGTTGGTAGATAAATATATATTGATTGATTGTCGATATTTCAGGAGTAGTTAATCAAAAGGCTAGGATCGAGAAATAGACTACAGCGTTTCCCCCTTCCAGCAAGTGATGCCCGCGAACATACGGTAGTTCCCGATGGTGACGCAAGCACCAGTGCAGGTACCAAGTTTACAAGTTTGTTAGGGCAATGTACATGTTGTACGGGTATGTGTCATCGTCATGATTGCGTTTTTTATTCACCTGCAGAAGCACTTGTAAGAAGAGCCGGCTAGTCTGGCACGGCTTTGCGGTGTACGGTTGGTTGCGTGGTTCAACATTCATGACACACGTACGTGCCCCTTGCACGCTAAGCGGAAAGTAGCTTGCCCGTGCCCCTTGTACGAACGGCGAGCTTGGAGGGAACGGAAGCATGTTTGGTGCGCGAGGGCGGTGGTTGGTGCTGTACTGAAGCGGGAAACTCGACGTTTATGCACGGCGAGCTTGAAGGGAGCGGATGCATTTTACTGGTTGAGTTCTTCTGAGGAGCGTGGTTGGTTGTTGGTACGAAACCTTGATTGGTCGTATCTGGCAACAGGTAGTGAACCTCGCGGGAAATTCGTCGTTATTGAACGCGCTAGAGGGGGAACTTGGGAGAGGGTTGTGGCCTTCGGCAAAATCGCGTATTGGAAGCCTTGGTCGACATGATAACCTTGTAAATGCAAGCATGTAGTTAGATACATCAGGCGCATGTAGGGCGGGTCCGGGTTGTTGAAAATTGGCCGTACGGAAAGCTCACGTATTCAAATTATGTCTGTTTCAGCTTTCCGTTGATCGCGTTTTATTGTGCGTGAGTTTTCGGGCCCTTTGATATCACACGGTGGGCGAACGAGGAAAGAAAGAGCGGCGGAACTAACGCGGTGGTAATTAATACCATCCTTGTGTGCTCTATTTTTATCAAGGACGTCTGGTTAGCACAGGAATGAATACCTCGCGGTTTCGTTCGATGTCTCTTTGTGTGGGTCGAAATCCAGATGTTGCTTCTCTCTGCTGCTCGTTCGTCCAGATCGATCGGTTTGTATCAGTCGGCTGCAGATGCGGTACAACGGACATCCTCTCTCTTGCTCACACACACGGCACTGCACACACACGAACTCCCAAACGCAACTCTCACTCACGCGCGACTCTTCCGCCCGGTCCTCTCGACACCGCATTCGCAGTGGCCCGTTGCCTGGCGATCCTGCCTGACTCTAGTTAGTTCCCCAAGACACCTCTGAGAGCGTCTGTCCTGCACTGTCCACACCCCGCCTCCCCATTGCAAACCCCGGGAATGGGGGAGAAACGGCTATTCCATCGAAACCCCGGGGACACGCTGCATTTGACGCCGGAAAACAGCGGAAAAGGTTACTACATAGCCTTTCCCACGCCTACTTTCATGCCACGGAAGGAGAGCGGCGAAAAACAATTTGACCCTGGGGACAGAATCCACGAGGCATCGGCACTCATTTTGACGGTCCATGGGTCGCCAATGGGCTGCCGATGGGCATTCATTCCCTGTTATGGGCTGCCCATGGGTGCCAAGTGCCCATGGGGCAGCCCATAGGTGCCTCATGGGCTGCCCAATGGCATCACGTGGAACCCTTGGGCAGCCCACGGCTCCATGGGCCATGGGCGGAGTTTCGCAAAACTGCAAAACTAAATGTAGAAAAAGTGTGGGAGACCCGACCTATTTACGTACTGTAGACGCTTGCTGCACGCTACAGCACTGAAACCACGCCTCAGGTTCTTTCACAAGGCAATACGTCGTAGCGACAAAGCTGCAGTGCGCAAAGCACGATGGAAGATGATGCGCCCAACGCACGCGGTGCGGGCTGGTCATGATCGGCTACATTAGAACTGCTACCGATGCTATGCATATGCATATTTCTGTACAGTAATGATTGGACAAAACACCATGGATACAGTCCCGCGGACCAGAAGGAGAGTTCAACGAACGTTCTTTCGTACGCACAGTAGGACCTTGATTGTATGGACATCACGCGGACGGTGAAATCCGCGTTGCTCATATACCCGACGTCGGAGAAAATGGACCCAACCGAACTTTCGCAGAAGATGATATTCCTCGCCACACCATTTCCCTTTCCCATTGAAGTTATTCTCTCCCAATGTACCCATAAAACCTCTCCCTTCTGTACCGATTGAAATGATCACGCGAGCAAGAAGTCGTCCGCGTCTTCGCGGACAGATTGCTGCTCCAATACCCGAACCCCCGACGCGCACGCACACGCTTCGTCTCTCTTCCCTTCGGCCCTCGGCACGGGCACGGACAGGACACAGCCGTTGCAGGACTTTAGCCACACCCGGTCACACGAAGTGGTGAGTACAGCAGTAATTGTGTGCTGTTCTGTAGACTAAACTGCGAGAAGCAAGACATACCACTTGCAGTTTTTTTGTTGTGGGCACTGCTCGTCCTACCTTTGGTTTGGGATTCTCTTCTCCTGGCCCGCTGTCGCGCCCTGGTCTGGTTTTGTCTCATGGCCTTACACATCTTGGCGAGTGATGGTGGACTACGATGTTCTCAGATCTATCTACCTTGAAGATACATACTCAGACCGAGGGGTACCGAATAGAGAGATTCACAGGGTTGTTTTTCGCCAAATAGTCTAGACTCACTCGAGCCGCGGTATTTTCAGACCCCCGACCATCATCAACAGCTTCCAACAAACAGCTTCCCTTTTACCCCGTCCCAGCATAACACATACAGTACAGCAGTAATGGTCCCGATATACTGCAGTTGGTGGCACCATGAAGAGTGAAATTCCCGATTATAGTGGCATCAAAATCTCGTGTCACAATCGCAACCCGGTTATTTAGTGGCATTTTACCACAATTATTGAGGACGGGTCCTCAATACACGGGGTCTTCAATAATATTAGTGGCATTTTGGGCATCTCATTCCCCCAAGAGTGGCAATTCAAAAAGCGTCGGAGCTCCGGTAGGATTGATTACCACGACGCATAAGAATTGATCACGAGAAGATTGGGAGTTAACTTTCGGTCATTTGGACAAAGCAAAATCAAAGGTGCGTTCGTCTTACGTTCTCGTCTCCGCGAATCATTGGATTCCGTTCTTCTAAATTCAACTTGAATACAATGTGAATACAATGTGTAAACTCGCAGGACCATGACGAACGACGCGCAAACAAATGGATTACCGTCTTCTTGTGCAACCTACACGTGCATTCCAATGTACAGACAAATGGAGCAACATGGGTGTCGTGATGATTTGTTCGTGTCCATGGCCCGGCGCAGCGGTGACTGCACTGACCACATTCGTGTGCAGCGACCAACTTCAGCGGTGACTGCACTGACCGCATTCGTGTGCAGCGACCAACTTTATATCAGAAATCCAAGAGTTCCCCCCATGTGCGCATCGACCTGTTTCAGTGGTTTGGTTATACGCACGAATCTCCACCACCAGCGCCGATATCAGTCTCGTTCGGCAACATCTGTTCCTGCCCGGCGCGTGGGTTCGCTGGAAGGTTTCGCGTCTCATGTCCTACGGTGTGGTGCCTGTCGTCGGGATTTATTTCTTATTTCCTGCTGCATTTATTAATAATCTAGGAGAGCAAACGCGTTTGTTTGTTGTTCCTGTGAACCTGCGAAATACCGCCGTGGGTAACACAAGGCGTCACACCCCCTGGAATGGTTTTCAAAGAACGTTTTACTCCACGCCAAAAGAGTGACGAAGCCGAAAAAAAGCGGGTTGGAGGCATCTCGTTGAGAGCTTTCCGAAACGAATCGTTTGATTTGTTCATCCTCTTCGTCGCGGAGTAATCGAGCTTGGAACGTTGGTACAAGGGGGGTGCTGTCTTACGTCACCTGCGGTAACACCACCTGCAAGATATGCCCGCACCGTTTAACTCTCTCTAACTATCCCCCTCACGCTACAGCTTGTAGATGCCTTGGAATCGGCTTTGGTTTCGTTTCAGCCACGTCGATATTCCTTCTCTCTCACCTTTCCCTCCGTCTTGCTAACCCCCCCCCCACCCTCTCCCTCCGTCTTGCAGAACTCGCCACCTCTTCCGTCTCCCTCCGCTTACTGACCCCCCCCCCTCCCCCTATCTTCACGCCATCCCGGCTGCCTGCATCTTGCGGTGCTTGGATTTCCGCAGGTCACTTGAGAAGAGTGTGGTCCCTTCGACGGTTTCCAGAAACGAGCGCGGAGAAGGTTGCCGGCCTCCAGGGGCGGAAGCAGAACAAGCGATGCGAAGCAGGGGCCAGACTAACCAGCGTGCCTGCCAGCAGGAGGCAAAAGACGTTGCGCGGAGGAGGAGAAGGAGAGCACTCCCGACGGGAGGCGAGAAACGAACGGCTCTGGAAGCTAGAGATCAACGGCGATTCCGACCCGACGTCGCCGCCGGTAGGAGCGACACCGCCAGCGCCACGGCGAGGCGGCGGTCTGCCCCCGCGATCGCCCGCCACTCCCTCAGAAATGCCTTCCTGGTTCTCTTCGCCGCCATGCTCGCGACGCCGCGGATCAATAACCCGTCGAGCTCGACCGCGCGCTTGAGGGGGGGGCGGGGCTCCGCGGTGCTGGCGAGGGGTGTACCCCTCGGGATGGGGGTGATGGCGGCGCCTTGCGCGGTGGCGGGCGGGCTGGGGGCGGAGGAGGTGACGGTTACGCCGGAAAGCGACGGGGGGGAGCTCTTGAGCCTCTTCGACTGCGAGGGCGGGGAGTTCAACGTGTCCTGGCTGGGCGAGGTGGCCGTTCCCGGGACGATTTACATCGGCCGCGGGACGACGGTGCGCATCTTCGGCGAGCCCGGCAACAGCGGCAGCGGTAGCAACGCCACCACGCCCAGTAGCGGGAGCAGCAGTGCCGCCGCCGGCGACTCGAGTGCTGCTGTTGGAAGCAGCGGAAGTGCTAGCACCACCAGCAGTACCACTAGCAGCAGCAGCAGCAGCAGCAGCAGTAGCACTAGCAGCAGCGTCGAGAGAGACCAGGAGTGGGTGGAGGCGCTGTCGAACAGGCTGCCCCCGCTGCCGAACGGCCTGACCTCCGTCGCGATGGGAACGTTCGCGGCGGCGTCGACAACGACTACTAGCGGCAGCGGTACGTCCTCGAGCGGCAACTCTTCCTCCACATTACCCTCCAGTACGCAAGAGGGTGAGGAGGCCGAAACAACGGCACCGACGGGACCGCTCTTTTTCGTCGATGGCGGACAGCTCTTCCTCGACAGCCTAGCGGTCCGCGGTGGCTACACGTCCAACTCCACGGGCTCGTTCACCCACGCCGCCAGCACGGACGCCGCCGCCGACGGTGCCAACAGCACAACCACCTCCGGCGTCAATGAAACCGCCATCGCTACCGTGGTGATCAGCGGAGGAGGCGTTCACGCCATCGACTCCAACGTGACCGTCACCGGGTGCGAGTTTGAGGAGAACTAAGCCGACTACTGGGGCGGAGGAATCTTTGCGAACGGCTCGACCTTGGTCGTGCGCGGGTCCGTGTTCCGCCGCTGTGAGGCCGGAGATGTGCCGTTGCCGGGGGACGAGGACGTCGACGGGGCCGGCGGTGCGATCGGGGTGAGGTTTGTCGGGGTAGCACAGTTAGCGAACAAAGGCTCAGATGTTGGAGAAAATGGACGAAGAAACACACCCTTACCCGTGGATCCTGCACCATATGCTATATTGACCGTGGTGACGAAATAAGAAGTTGAGCCTCGACCCCAAATGGACGTGTTAAACGCCGGAGCTAACTGCTGTGTGGACGAGAGACTACCGTAGTTGACGCAAGACTCCACACCCTCCGGACTGATTTCAAAGCTCGACTTCCCCGTAGAAGAAAAGAGAAAAGAGCGGCGGTGCCGAAGATGGAACCGTCTCTTCGAGAGCTTTCCGAAAACGTATGTTGTCGTTGAACTTGTACATCTTCTTCGTCGTGGAGTAGTGGGAGCTGTGAACGACGATCCAGGGCGTGTGGCATCTTTTGTCACATGCGGTATGTTTGCGGTGGAGCAGCTTCTCCAGGGGACGAACGAGATAGTATGGTAGGCTCAAGAACTTTGCATCATTACTTACCAGTGACAGACATCAGGGAGGCAAGAGGGTCCCCGCGGGTCGTTTCCATCTACCCATATTATCATCCGCATAACACCCGGAACCCCGAAGACAACAGTAGTCGCTGCCGAGCACCTCAATCAGTACAAAGCGGAGAGGGGGGTCGACTACTGGGACATATGGTTCCGCCGTTATTCGAACCACGGGACTAATAGCAGTCCGCCAGCTTCATGACAACTTTCTTGTCTACTGGCCCCTAAAGACTCCCAGGAATACCAATATCACACCACCTTTTGTGGGGAGGGTTTACTGTCCCGTTTTTATCGTTTTTGTTTGTAATAGACGGAGTTCACGGACGTGCTTGTCGACGGCTGCCTGTTCGAGAAGTGTTTCGCCAGCAAGAAGGGGGGCGGCATGCACCAGTGGATGGGGCAGATATCGGTGCTGGATTCGGTCTTCTACAACAACACGGCTGGGAGCGCCAACAGGGAAGACGGTGAGGTTGCAGGGGGTTGAGGGACGAACTCATGTTGTGCATCTCTTCGCGGTCAGGACTTTGACCACGCGTCCTCGAGAGGACAGAGGGGAGCATTGTTCCCACAGGACCAGGCTATCATGTCATATCATCAAGCGCGAAGCGCCGTGAGGTATTCAGCATTTCTCAAGTGGGGGCGCTACTTGCATGGTTGTAGGATATCGATCGCTTTGAAAGATGCTTCCGCCGCTAGAAATTTTCTCTCTCTCTGTGCGCAGGCCACTGACTTCCGGGTTGTTCCTCCTCCGACTCGATCATCCTCCCCTGTCCTCCCCCTCTTCCGCCGGCCGCGTCGCTACCTGTCTGTCCGCCCGGCAACTGAAATATTGTCCTTCGAATGTGTTCCTTCGTCAACGGCGTGACAACTTTACCCGATTTGTGACAATTCGTCAATCTGTACATATGACATCACCATATTATACTTGTCACGAGTTAAATCGTACATATGGCTCATGTAGGATATTGATCATGATTGCAACTGTGCGTACGGCATCATCATGTCCTGACCATGAGTGAAACCGTTTCTTGACTGACGATTTTATCGCACGGTTGACGTTTTTTTGTTGGTGTACAGATGACGAGATCGGGGAGGGCGGCGCCATCTCCTTCACCACGTGCAACACTTCTTTCGACGGCTTGGCGGCCTGTGGGGCCAACGACACCGTGTTCTTCAAGAACGACGTAGGCCGCAAGGTACGCCGAAACCGTCGTCTTCGGTACATATATGTGTATCATTTGTTTTCTACAGAAATACAAGGAATTCCTCTCTTGCACAGATGAAAGAGGTCGGGACAGATTTGCAATGAATTCATTTATGTTGTCCCGATGATGGCCAACTTGTGCTTCTACCGTTCGCCGAGCAGCACATATTCTTGTGTTTGTTCCTGGGGTCTTGTTTCTTTCGGGCGGGTGAAGAGGTCACGGGTGTCTCGCGGACGATTTTTCTCGGTATTTTTCACGATTGCGAGATTTGTGAGGCGGTCAATTCGGCGGTGTGAGTGTTACGAATGCTCGTAGGTTCGACATGCGGGCGAGGCAGCACCCTCTGTCGTCTTTAATGGAAATGCCGTAGTGCATAGCGTGTGTTTGTATGTGTTCCTATTGCCGGTCTCGTCTTGTAGTAGCCTTGTGAGTTCGTGCGGATAAGGCCCGTTTTAAACACATCTGTGTTGCTTCCAAGTTTCCAAATTCTGATTTCGCATATGCCAATACTTTCAATAAGTTTGGAATCGACTCGTTAACCCAAAATTTTGGGTGCCAGTAGTTTCCAAATTTGGAAATTTCAAATTTTGTCCCCCGGTCGAATATCGAGGTTCTATTATCTGCGGATTCGGAAATTTGGAAGCGAAATATATAGCTGCTGTTCAAAACGACCCTGAGTGCAGAAAAGCACAGCATTGTTTGTTTTCAGTATCAAGGGTCTGTTGCGCGGTGTTTGCGGTCGACGAGGTTGAATCTAGTAACAGTAAGGTTCCGCACGCAAGGACAATGGCCAGCTTCTTGGTCCATCCTTGTGCAGCGTAGCCTGGACCGTGAATATCCGGCATATCCTTCCGTCCCGGCGACGTAGGGACGCGAGGGAAATGGTCTTGACTACTACAGCATACGTTTTCATGAGTACACCCCCCACCCCCGCTCCGTCCTCGAGAAGACGGAGCGTGGTCAATGGTCTAACGACTACGGCGTTCTGAACATCAGTAACCCCCCCCCCCCACGGCGACGAAACATTTTTCCCGGCTGCGATTTGCGGATCCGATTCTCGTCCCAAAAAAGGGGGGCGCCATTGTCATCGGCAGCGATGGGGATTCTACCTATATCGAGCTCCACCGTTGCACGGTGGAGAAGAGCGAGACCGGCCGGGAGATAGAGGACGATCCGCAGGGGGACGGTGGTGCCGTGGCGGTAGCCTGGGGTATCACCCTGCTGGTGGCGGACAGCCTGCTTACGGACAACTACTGCGGCAAGAAGGTGAGCAACTGGTTTTTGTTGAGGGGGGGGCGTACTCACAGCCGGGCGTGCCGTTGTCGTTAGACGATTGACTGACCCCCCTTCCCTACAAGCTGCGACGGAGCACGCAGGGGGGGCGGGCGTCCCGCGCTTTTTGGCGTGCCTGGGTGGTTTGACCACGCGTCCTCGAGAGGACGGAGCGTTTGTTCCCGCAGGACCGATAATCTGAGCTGGTCTTCGAGGGGGGAGGGTCGAATAGCATTGTGGTGGTGGGGGTGGTGGCAGTGGTGGGTACAAGTGCTGGTTGGCGGTGATTGTGTTTACATGGGGCATTGTTATTGCTGGTGCTGGTGCTGCCGCTATTGCTTCCTTTGTGATGGGTGCCGTCATTGCCGAATTAGCCAAACTAACGCTCAAATCAAGAGCATTACTGTTGCCTCACCCAGTTATCTTCGTCTGGTACTCCTGTAGTCGTCCTACAACTAAGAAGGCAAATTATCTTGACCGAACCGTCGCCCCGCCCCACCTCCCACGAGAACCAAAACAACGCCCAACCCCCCCCCCGCCTCTCAACCGATCCTGCAAGGGAGGGGTGGTGACACTGTCGTCCGGAGAAGGCTTTCCGGGTGATGATGTTGACGAGCCTGGACCTGTTGTCATCCTCAGGAACTCCACCTTCACTGATAACTCGTAAGTGTGGAAATACTGGTAGATACACTAGGTTCATTGTGTGTGACCTCGGACCCCCCTATAATAGTATTCTGCGGTTTTCGCATGTATATCACGGTGCCCCCCCCCACCCCCCCCACACATGATTCTGCGATGTTTTCATGAATATTATCCTACAAACACACAGCAACAACCAAACTGAAACATATTTCATCCGAGGCTCGGCTTCATGAAAACAAAAGGAATTGGAGAAAGAATTTGCGCATGTTCTTGGTGACAAGCTTCCAGCGGTAGTGCGTCGGGCTGGACCGCTTTGGAAAGCTTACCGCATGTGCTCGCTGAGAAGCAAGACAGCCTGCTGTATGTGACAGGTGGAACACTGCTGAGTGCTCTTACGCAACTCGGTGACTCTCGGAACGATGAGATACAAGATGTCGTTGTTACTGGCTGACTCCAAGGCCAGGTCTTGATGGTAGAAGATGAGAGCGAGAGCGAGAGGCGCGCGGGCCAGCTGTCCATCACTAACACAATATAAACAATATCTACTGTTGGGGACCCCAAACAATCAACCGTTCGCTGACAGTCCCGTGCGGGAACGTGTCACATAGCATGTGGTCTGTGCCCTACTATATCTGCACGTCTGCTTGCTACTGCTGGCTGCGGATAACGGTATTACAGCATACTGCAGACCTAGCGTGCACAAAGAATCTTTCTGTCGTAGCTCGGCTACGACTACTTTTTTTTTGTCGATGTTGCCTGCAGCGAACACGGAAGGAAGGGATATAACTTGGCTACTGTCTACATGGACACGTGAATATCCCTGACACGAGCCCTCGATGGAGGTAACCTAGACCATAAATTAGCTATTCAGAATCGAATGCTACTCGCTCTACCGATACTTGGTGCTACGAAGTAATGTATTCATACCGAAAACGACTTCCCAACTAGTCATTCCTAATTCGCTCTCTGGAACGCTGTCCCCACTTTGACATGTGGAATCAAATGACGTTTGACAACAAAGGTTCATTACTCCATATTGATGATCACTCAACAAAAAAATCCGCTCTTGCTTCGCTACGATGGGTGATCAATCCTTCTCAGCCAACTTCCGTGCAGCTTTGACAAATATCATGAAGCATTCGTTTATGAAGAACCACTTGGGCTCACAGCTTCTTGGAAACTGACTAAAATACGAACAGCATAATACCGTTCTTATTCACTCACGTGATTACTTTTAGTTGATGCATGTCATGTATGCTTCCTATATACAAACTTGAAAGTCTCCGAAGCCTCTCACTCGCGTATTTTCGATCATATAAATATTAATATTCATGGCGTTCAGCACGGCAACGTTCCCACTTCTCATTGCGTTCGGCAGGGCGATCTTCCCTTAGATGTTGGTTCGAACCCACATTCGAAGCTTTCCGCCGTCCCCAGATTGATTGTGACGATCCTCCGGTGCCAGGACGCAATCCGAAGCGATGTTCTATTGCGGTCCAAACCCCACGATATTTCCCCCAACGATTGATCCGGGCTTCCTGTCGAAGCGACCCGGGGATTTCACGGCGTCCAAGCGACAGTGCCGCCGGCATCCCGGGATTCGTCTTTCCGGCGACCCCCAGCGGTTAATCTCTGTTGCGGTCCAAACCCGGAGACGTTTCCTCCGATGGTTGATTCCGTCTTCCTCTCGACAAGCGACAGCGTCGTAGGCATCCCGGAATGTGTCTTTCTGTTCCCACGACCCCCAGCAGTTTTTCGTAGTACTGTATGCGGTCGAAAGTCGGAGACATCTCCCCGATGGTTGATTCCGACTTCCTGTCGAAGCGACCGGGTTACTTCACGGTGTCCAAGCGACAGCGCTGTAGGCGTTCCAGAAACAAAATTCTAGCAACCCCCAGCGGTTTCTTGTTTAGATTGTAGATGCGGTCCAATCTCGAAGATGATCCCCCGACAATCGATTCCGGCATCCTGTCGAAGCGACCCGAAGTTCCGGCGTCCGGCGTCCGAGCGACAGCGCTGTTGTAGTAGTCCCAGGAGCTATTTTCCCGGCAACCCCCAGCGGTTTTTATGTTTAGACAGATGTGGTCCAATCGCGAAGGTGATACCCCGACGATCGATTCCGGCTTCCTGTCGAAGCCACCCGAAGTTACGGCGCCCGAGCGACAGTATACCGTACTGTAGTCCCACGGGATATTCTCCCAGCAAACCCCAGCGGTTTTATGGCGTTTTGCGGTGATTCCAGATGAAAAAACGCTGTGTCTCCGGCAATCCCGGCCAGGCGTCCCCTGGCTCCTCCAAGCTTCTTCATATGGATATAGTTCTATATGGTTCCCGATTAGCGCATGAAACCCTCCTCGAACTCTTCCCAGCGGCTGATCGCGGGCATCGGTTTCTCACCGTCAGTAGCACTCTGCGAGAGGGTAGCGCACAACATCAAATAAATGCGTTGTTTCCCCCTCTCTGGCTGTGGCCGTCCGTGCTCGTAGTGTTCTCCACTGTCGTGTGAGGTCGTCTTGTACCCACCGCATGACCGCTTTCCAGCACCGTCTCCTGATGATCCAGACCTCCTCTTACTGTGTAGCTGCGCAGTTCATCTGTTCGTCGTTGATGACGCCCGACTCAATCGTTCCATCCGTCACACACACGCCAGCAGGGTGTGTGAACAGGTCGTCTCCTGCAGCAGTCTACAGCAGCAGTGGAAACCCTCGAAAACCTGACACCGGATTGGTATAAGCAACCGGTCTTACACCCTGGCGACTGTCGCAGTATCATAATGCAGCAGTAGTAGCGTCGGCAGCACCAGCACACCAGCATCCAACTTCCGGCTGCTCAGATTGGTTCTCTTTGTGCTCGAAGTTTCCCTTCGAAGGCCGATTCCCTAAAAAATGGTTCTTCTCCGCCTCCAGACCGTTCAGTTCGTAACAGCAGCTCCAGATGCAGATGATCGTGGCAGCTCCATGTGTAGCAGCAGCAGCTTGAACCTCAGCGTGAGTCCTCTTGATGTGCCTGATGATTCGCAGCTCTGCATGTTGAACGTGTGTCAACCTTCTTGTAGTCTTGAAGCTTGGAAGAAATTCTTGTTCCTTGACGTTCCGAAATTCTGTGATCGTGCAGATCACGGTGTACAGCAGGTGTAGCAGGGAAGTTTGACACGCCGTGTACGTAGCTAGCAGTGTCCACGCGTCAATACGAGGCTCATAACCTCTTGGTGATAAGCTGGCAGCGGTAGCGCATCGGGCCGGACCGCTTTGGAAACTTATATTTCGCAGGTGCTCGCTGAGAAGCAAGAGGGACAACCTCCTGTATGCGAGAGGTGGTGGAACACTGCTGAGTGCTGTTACGCAACTCGGTGACTCTCGGAACGATGAGCTACAAGATGTCGTTGTTACTGGCTGACTCCAAGGCCAGGTCTTGATGGTAGAAGATGAGAGTGAGAGCGAGAGGCACCCGGGCCAGCTCTCGATCACTAAAACATATAAACAATATCTACTGTCGGGGACCCCGAACTGTCAACCGGCCACCGGGGTTCCCCCCGAGTATTCTGAACGTTCCCTGACAGTCCCGTGCGGGAACGTTTTTGTCACACTTAGCATGTGGTCTCTGCTCTACTATAACGGCACGTCTGCTAGCTACTGCTGGCTGCGGATAACGGTATTACAGCATACTGCAGACCTAGCGTGCACAAAGAATATTTCTGTCGTAGCTCGGGTGCGACTACTTTTGTCGATGTTTCCTGCAGCGAACACAGAAGGGATACAGGAACGTGGCCGCTGTCTAGACTACATGGACACGAACATATCCCTGACACATGCCCGACAAATGACGCGGTTCAGGTCTCGGACCGGTCTAGCGCACTGGAACCGAAGGACAACACTATTGCAGGCATATTTTTCGGTTGAGGGCACGCATGTGCGCGTGGTTGAAAGGAACACTGACTGGCTCTTCGTGTGGGACGAATGCTGCTCTTCTCACTTGCGAAACACGAGTTAACCAACCAACAACAACAACAACAACAACAACACCGCCGACAACAACATTAACATCATGATCAACATCAACACCACACCACCAACAACAACATCACCAAGGGCCCACCTCGACAACGCCGGCGTGGTGAACCTCGGCGAGTTCGCCACACTCTTAGTGGGGGGGGGCGACAATGTTTTCGCGGGAAACGAGTGCGGCCAGAACGGTGCGGTGTTCGGAGCCACCACCGACACAGCAATCGTCATCGAGGGGGGAACCTTCTTCGGCAACAAGGCTGCGGATGTAAGAGAGGCAGCAATTGGGGCAAAATTCGCTCGAAATTTGTACTCCGTAGGCAGTGCCTTGTATTCTTATTGTCGATTTTGGTTTTAAACTGAAAATCGAGTGGAAGAAAGGTACAACATGTGTATCAAGATCGCAAGAATGAACGCCTACGGAGTATTGTACGAGCCTAGGAGGGCAAAAAACGTCAACGATGGGTTTGTTATTTTTTGTGCTTGCTTGCCTTGCTATCTTTTTTAGTTGTATTCTTTCTGTTTTATTTTTTTTCATGTTACAGCAGTAGGGCTGGGTGTCTCTGTCACTGTTACTGTTGTTTTGTTTGTCTAGTATACCGCAGGTGACAACATGCTTGTTGCTCGAAAGTCGTTTCACCTTTTTCGGTTTCTATATGCTGGTGACAGTATCAATATCTGTGGCGAAATATTTTAACTTCGTGTGAAGGCTGCGCGTCTACTGAACAACATAGTATAATAGCCGAGGAGCCTCCTCAACAGAGTCTCGATATCCCGCAACTCATTCCTGCCTGCATTTGTCGTTCTCACCCCAATCTAACTACCGCTTTTCTTTATTCCTGCCTGCATATGTCGGAAAACTCTACCGGTATTTTAGGGTGGCGGCGTGATCTGGACCAAGGGTGACGTGACCATCCTCGGGGGGAATTTTTCGGGGAACGATGGGGCGGAAGCGGGAGGAGTAGTGCTCGCTTCAGAGGAAAGTACAATCATTATTGCAGGTACGACAGACTGTTCTTGGTGGTGGTGGTGGTGGTGGTGGTGGTGGTGGTGGTGGTGGTGGTGGTGATGGTAGTGGAGGTGGTAGATGTGGTAGTTGTCGCCGTCGTTGTTGATGTTGTCGATGTTGATGTGGTGGTTGTTGTTGTTGGTGATGATGGTGGTCGTGGTCGTTGTGTAATGGTAGTTATAGTTGCCCTCGTCGTTGCCTGTGCTGCCGTTGACGGCGGTGTTGTTGTTTTTCTATATTTTTTGTTTTTTCTATCATGGGTCCGGGACGTCGAACTATGTAGCGTTCATCAGGCGGCAGCATTCGCGTTGCACTGAAACCTTCTGGCTCGAAAAGCAACATAACTTATTTAGCAATAGGCCACGTACAATGGACTTCTGGGTGTTTTTTTTCTTAATTTCGGCTGTTTGAGGAGATACAATTCCTAAATTTACATGTACACAGGCAGCCGACTGACTTACGTCCGTTTAGGTACAGCCTATGTGCCTACCCGCTACATAGGTGGGTACGCTCGTATTCCTGTATAAGAGGGGGTTCCGATACAAAGGCGTCAAGGGACTTTGTCACACCACCCTTTTATATCGCAGCTGTACAGCGTGTGTATCCCCTTTACGCGAAGGATGCGGTCATATTTTCTGCCAGGCTAGATGAACATGTTTCACAATTGTATCCGTAACCCTTCCTACTCAATCTCGGTCTCGGTCTCGGTCCGATCAAGGTGGTCTCTTCCAGGGTAATGAGGCGTTGGACGGAGGCGTGGTGTTCGTGAGCGAGGGGGCGGCGGTGGCAGTAGAAGGAGGCGTGTTCGACTCTAACCATGCTGGTAACGGTGGTGGCGCCTTCGCAGCGGAGGAAGACGGACACATAGACGTGAGATATGGAGAGGGGAAAGACAGATGGACAGATGAAAATAGATACGGACGCGTTGTTGACGTGAGAGGTGAAGAGAGGAGAGAGAGCAGAGACCGACAGACAGTCAAGCAGGCAGGCACAAAGGCAGACGGGCACATTAGCGTGAGAGGTGGAGAGAGGAGAGAGAGGAGAGGCAGAGAGATGGGCAGACAGGAAGGCAGACGGATAGGCAAAGGAGTTTTTTGCGGGTCTCGCAACAACAACGAGCCCCCATCCATCCTGACAATCAAAACCCAGTACACGCCAACATTGATCCGCACAGATCACGCAAGGAACTTTCACCAATAACGAGGCCGACTTCGGGGGGTTTCTGTACAAGGAGGGGCCGGGAAACGCCTCCTGCACGGGTGCGAGCGTCGCGGGGCACCGCGGCGTCGACGGGGGTGCCGTATATGCCGTCGAGGGGGCCAAGCTGGAATGGGGGTGCGACCTGGTGAACAACTCTGCACTCGCGGGACCTGCCATGTGAGGGTGGCATCGGCGTTGGCGTGCGGCGGGGGGGGGTGAGCTTGATATCTCAGCTCACACACGTTTGTGTGTCTTATGATTTTGCGTCGACCACGCTAATCGGTTGACCAATGAAAAGACGCCAATCTCAGTGCGACTAAACATACAAAACACTTCTAAATGCCATTACCTGGGACCCCGTGTGGGGGCGGCATTGGGGACGCTAAGTTATTCTCCGGATGAAAGACAGAAACGGTAGCCAACAAAACAAGACTGCACGCGTCTGTCAAGGCTGCTACCTTGAACTCGAGTTCGTTTTGGAGTGCTTTCACCATCATCATCCTTGATTTCACGTGTGTATTTTCGTCAGGGGAGGAAACGACACAACAGGGTATAAATACCCTGGTCGAAAAGCGTCTCAGCTGGGGAGATTCCGTTCAACAATGTGAAATGAACAGGGAAGTTTATTCGTCGAGCAGAAAGAATAAACTGGGGTGTATTTTTTTGTTTTGGTCGAATTAGATTAGGCTTCATTATCTGTCGGGAAACCTGGGTCACGAGTTTAAAAATATATAACCCTAACCCTATATATATACAGAGCGCGTGAAGAAACGGAAGGACAGCAGCAGCCGCCTAACGTAGTGGCGTCATTCCATTGAACAGCGTGAAGTGAACCAAGATTATTTGTTTAGACGAACGGTTAGGTGGTGCCGTTTCCGTCTATAACCCGGAGAACAGCCTAGCCTCACCATGACGCCCCCCCCAAGCGGCCGCACATCATGGCCTGTAGAAGGATCGTGTTGCGCTTTTGTCCGCACTGGTGAACGTTCATTGGTCAGCCGGGTAGCGCGGTCGATGCCAATGCAAGTAGCATCACACGCCCACACACATACGTGTTGGCGTTTTTCCCACTGCGAAACTGTCGTCTTTTCGCTGGCACGCCCGTTGGCGCGGTCGATGTACACACTCACAACCAAAACAAAACAAAACAAAACAAAACAAAACAAAACAAACTAATCTAACCAATCAAACCAAACTGAACCAAAAACGAACCAAAACGAACCATAATTAACTTTAAATAAACGAAACAGCTACGCTCGGGACAATGCGGAGGTGGTCCTCCGTGGGGTAGAGCTTTGCGACAACGTCGTGGCTCGCGGGAGCGTCGTCTTCGTCGTTTCCAGCAACCTCACCACCTACCAGGTATTGCTGCTGCTGCTGCTGGGGTCGACGTTGCTGTTGATGTCGGCATGGTTGGTGGTGGTGGTGGTGTTGCCGTTGCGGTTGCTGCAGTTTCTGCTACCTTTACCAATACTGACCCTTTTGTTAAGGTTGCCACCTACACCAGACTTGTCAGAATGGGTGAAGGTTTCACAGCAGTGAACACGGTAGCAAGGGTTGCTGTAGTTCATTTGTGTGATTTGAGTTGTGACACCAAGTGTCGGCATCTTGCTGTGTAGGCTGTCGGGCGGTGTGTTCATGCATTTTCGCCCACACAGCTCTCGGTGTACGCATCATGCTGCAACTGGGAAATTTTGTTGTCTCCCCCCCTCCCCGCAAGGCTTGTTTAACCGCATCATTGTCTCTTCCTCAACTTGGTTTTTTCTGTTTGTTGCAGACGGTTTTCACTGACACCGCGGGTTCTCCTGACCTGTCTGCGGTGCAAGCGGACGAGGACTCTAGCTACAAGGCTGAGGACACTTCGTTCGTTGGCTTCGCCGGAAGGGTGCGTTTTGTTGTTGTTGTTGTTGTTGTTGTTGTTGTTGTTGTTGTTGTTGTTGTCGTTGTTGTTGTTGTAGGTGTTGTTGTAGTTGTTCTTGTAGTTGATGCTGTGGCAGTGTTGATGATATGTGCGATCGATGTTAGTGGTGGTGGGGATGGTTCGTAGACATTGGCGTTATCATTGGTTTTCTGGCTGCTGTAGTTAGCGCCGTTGATGTGTCTACATCTTCACTTTCTCTAATATATTGCCTTTTTCTCGCCTCAACGACCGTTTCAGCGTCTCCTAAGCCCTCCCATGAAGTAGTTCCGTGCGAATCAAAACAGTACAAGCCGAACCTGTGGTCTAAGGCTACCGTACTGACACATGTGAAGACGATCGATGAGACCCAGGAAGCATCTAATGGTCGATGTGTTGGAATTAGTGGCTTAGCCCCGCGGGCGCGGGGACTATTATGTACTTGTAGGATTTTGTGTTGTATGATATGACTTATTTCTATGACGTATTTACTCAAAGGTATTTGGTTGAACGAGCAGCCAGCTGTCGCAAGTGTTCCTTCAGTCCATTCTCGACCTTTTCACTCGTAATGTTTTGTGGGTGATGTTTCGGCCAGTGCGGTGGGTTTCAGCCGAGGTTTGCGCTTCCTCACATCGTTGGTTGGTTATAGCAAAAAGTGGAAATTCTAGTCTGTGGAGTTGGCGGCGGTAGTGAATGTGCAATTCTCCCCATCTGTTTGTTGCACTCGATTGATTTTGTCACTAGGGGGATGCCTTGAAGCGCAATTGCGCTTATCACTCACGTGTCTTGGTTAGTTCGCGCTTATCCGTGCTCAATTCACTCGACTTTGTTCTGCCTCGCAGGCGGTGGTCTTCAGCGAAGGGACTTTGTATCTCGACGAGTGCAACTTCAGCGGCAGCACTGCCTCGGTTCTGGTGTACTCGGAAGGGGATTCGACCACCGTCGTGCGGAATGCCGTCCTGGGGGACAACAACTGTAAGCAATTTGAATCCGCAGGTCCCCCCCCCCACTTATCGTATTTCGAGTTATCACAGAGAAGTCCCCTAACCTTCCTCCTGTTTGTGTCACGCCCGTTGGAATTCAAATCCATGTGAATTAGTACTAACGATGTAGACTAGCACCCAGTGGAGGGATAAAAAATATGCACACATTCACACTCACCATTGCCACCCAGTCAAGAGATTGGAAGTTGATGGAAGTACATGTTCGGCTTGAACGTCACCCATGGCAACAGACGATGAACCCGTTTAAGAAGCATCTTCATGAAACCGTTCGTGAAACCATTCCTGAATCCATTCATGGAATCAGATTTCGACGTCACCCAGGCTGTATCGACGGTGGGTCAGATTCATTCCCATGACCCGCTCGTTGCTGAAAGTGAATAAAACCGATGAAACCGTTCATGAAATCAGATTTCGACCCCCCAGGCTACTTCCACGGTGTTGATTTCCACCGCCCGCTCGGTGCTGAAAGAAAACATCGTGTGAAATACTACGAACGATGAATGAAATCGATTCATTCAGCCTTTCACAAAACTCATATTTTCATCAACAAATCGGATTTTGACATCTCGGAGAGTGCCTTGACCATCGATCGCTGATGATCGAAGTGAAAGGGGACGTCTTCTACCTGCGACTACAAACCTCTAGTGAAACTGTTTAGGACACCGTTTTTTATGAAAGAACGCAGATTCAGGCGTCCGATTGCTGTTGAACACGAACGTCCACCTCGACGAACAACGATGAAACCGTTTTTCAAACCGATGAATAAAACTCTTCATAGCGAATCAGATTCCCACGGCTCACTCTTTGCTGAATGCGAACGTCACGCGTGGCTACGAACGATGAAAGAAACCGATCCATTCAGCCTTTCGAGAAACCGATGAAACCTTTGGTTCAAAGGACGAAGACGTTTCGGTCAAGCGATGAAATATATTGTTTGTGAAACCAAAGAAGCCGTTCACAATGTCAGATTTCGACGACGCCGGGCCTCACGATGGCGAATGACACCCCTCCGGCCCGCTCGCTGATCAGCGTGAAAGAGATGTAGTTGAGACTACAAACAATGAGGGAAGCCGTTGACCTTTCATGAAACCGACGGAACCTTTCGTAAATCCGATGAAACCGCTCATGAAACAGTTGAACGAAACAGGTAATGAAAGAAATCATCTTTGGATATCGCTGAGGCTGCTTTGGCGGGCGAATGAGATCTCTACGACTCGCTCGCTTTTAACGTGAACGAGGGTCAGTTGTGACTACAGTAGGAACGACGAAACCGATTGAGCCTTTCGTAAAACCGATGAAAATATTTGTGAAACCGATGATATCGTCCATCATGTCAAATTTCGACGTCGCCGGGCCGTCGACAGCGAATGAGATCTTGACGGCCGGCACGCTGATGAACGTGAACGAACGTCATTTGAGACAACAACCGATGAAACCGTTGATGAAGCCGTTGTTCTTGAAATCGTTGTTCACGAAACCGTCAGATTTCGACGTCGCGAAGGCGGCTTCGACGGCCAACGAGATACCTACGGCCCACTCGCTGATCAACGTGAATGTCACTTGCGACGGATGGATGCCGTTCTCGTCGACCTCTCCCTGCAGCGAGGGGTCCCCGTGTATCGACGGCGATCTCGGGGTGTACTGCCAGTGCTACACGCGGGAGTCTTCCATAGCAGAGGTGCGTAAATGCTTCTTTTGTTGTTGTCGGTGGTTTTGGTCCGCGCAATATAAGACGGAATCGAGTGCGGACATCGTGAAGCGTTGGCTACCATAACGGCAACAGTGATGGCAGTCGACAGAGAAAGCCTGGGTGTCGGCTTTTTGTACTTGACGTTCCGTTGCAGGCTTACTAAACGTTTGCTCTAAAAGTAGTCGAGACCTACAATTGTAGGGGTATGGTATGTAAAAGAAGGAGTCTGTCTGTATTGTTGTAACAAGTGCTAATTATTTATGAATCATTTTTGTTTTTGTGTCCACTGCGAATGGAGTCCCATGTCTGTGCGCACCCGTGAGAAATTGTGAAAATGTGTTTTGTTTTTATATCTGAGAAGCGGAGCTGTTGCCCCTGCACGAACGAACGTGTCATATTTCGTGCTCCAATAGCACCACATGCCCAAACCCGCCCCCGTCACCCTTCCCTACAGGGTTCCCCCTCCGAGACGTGCGTCACGGGAGACCCGGGGCTGCTTAACCTCACAGTGCTGTCGGAACCCGCCGACGCCGTCTACCCTACCATGCTCGACGGAGAACTCCTCGCTACCCTTAATGACGATGAAACGGTCACCACCAGCAGCAGTACAGGGGGCTCCGGGGTAGCCGTGTCGGGGGGGGCGGGAACGGAAGGTGGCGTGATTTGGAACGTTTCGGCGTTGCCGTTTTCTTTGGGGGAAGGGTCGATGGAGTGGACGGTGTTTCCGTCGACCGGTCTGCTGCTCCCGGGGCGGAGGTGCGGGAGGGCGTTTGGTGTTGTTGTTGTTGTTGTTGTTGTCGCTGCGTGGAATCTCCCCCTAATACCCTCTAGCGTTGTAACAGCACGTCGGGGTAGCAAGGTGATCGTCTTTGTTGTTTTCATGAGACGTGCCTTGCTCGGTGTCATTCTTTCCGCGCCGCGCTGACCCACGTCTACCCCAACACTACACGCTACAGTTTGACCGCACGCTTCACCACACGCTCCATCGCCTCACAACAAGGCAAATTTCAGCATTTTTTAAACTGAATCTGCCTAAACGAACAGGTGCTCATTCCCTATGCAATAACCTATATTGTCTCAGTCTTTCCGATAATAAAACCTATATTGTATGTTGGGGAACCCCATAGAATTGATTGCTCCGAGCTCGTGCACAATAAGAGAGAGCTGCCCTACGTTCCGTACCCCCCGCGCGACAGCATCACACTCCACGTGGTGACCCTCCCCAGCGAAGACTTCAACGGAGAGGCCACCGTGAGCTTCCAGGCGGACGGGATGTCCCCTCCCGCTTCTCCTGCCGCCGAGGCCGCCGCTGCTGTTGTCATCCAGACCACTTCATTGGCGGATGATGGGGAGGAGGACACCGCCGCTGCTTCCTTCGACGTGTCCTTCTTCCACTGCTTAGAGGGGACATACTGGAACAACGAGTGCGATACCGGAGGCGACTCCGACTCTTGCTGCGAGCTGTGCACTGATCTCGATGGAGACGAAGATGTGAGTGCGTTGCCGCAGTAGTAGTAGCACGATCTCTGTCGTACTCACGAATGTTTTCTTGTTCTTCCTCGCCCGCTCTCTCTTGTTCTGTATGTGTGAGTTGCCAAAGTAGGGTATGATATTTGCCGCCCACGGTTGATTTCTTTTGTTCTCGCCCGCTTCGTTGGCTTTATTTGTTACACGCACAGCGCCTTGAATCAGTGACATTCATAGTGTTTTGTCGGTGAAAACCACAGCGTCTGTGTTGGCCGGTGAACCGCAGCGATGCGGGTCTCCACCGGTCGGTGATGTACGACACAGGAGTTAAAATATCCGCCAGCACGTGGGACGGGTTTTTTATGTGCAAGAGATACGACGGCGACAAGAACGGCAACCCATTTCGCCGCCACTCTCAGCCGTAAACCGTGGGTATTAGACGGCTGCCACTGCATTTCTTGACGAGTGAAACGTTGGCCGAGCCTTTGCTTGTCGCGATCTGGTTAGTTAATTTCTGCGATGAAATCAAACTTGGAAGGGGGTGGACTGTGAGGACATGGGCGCGACGACCCGAACTCTCCCAGTCCAGTCGGGGTACTGGCGAGCTTCGCTGGATTCCGTCTACATCCGCCAGTGCTTCAACGAGGTGCGGAGAATTATTCAGGTTCAGGGGCGGCAATTATGAAAATGTTTCGTCAAGGCTGGTAGTCCAAAAACCCTAAATATGTATCTTGTGATACGTATCTTATGAAATGTATAACACTCACAATGGTGTAGTACTCCTATTTTTTGGTATGTAGAGGTGTGAAGCTTGTGCTCCAACGGTGGATACTACGATAAAATCTACCGCGTGTCAATGGTCGCCCGAGCTCGACGATCATGCGACGGAATGAGCAGATGAGCTTGTCCGAAACCGAATTCGACATTTCTCGATTGCCTGCCCGCAGCTGAAACAGCGAATCATCAACACAACCTGTTAAGATGTACAGCATATCCACTATGCTACAAGTCAGCGCTGACTTGTAGCATAGTGGATATGCTGTACATCTTAACAGGTTGTGTTGATGATTCGCTGTTTCAGCTGCGGGCAGGCAATCGAGAAATGTCAAATTCGGTTTCGGACAAGCTCCTCTGCTCATTCCGTCGCATGATCGTCGAGCTCGGGCGACCATTGACACGCGGTAG